GAAATTGATAGAAAAGGAAAAATAAAAGGAATAAAAAGTACAAGATTAAAGTTTAAGAACTATATGCGAAATTACCCCGAGAACTTAACTGCAAGAAACGAAAAGACAATTTTTTTTTTTTTTTTAAATTTGAAGTCTTCACAGAGTGCGGAGCAAATGCTCTGCACTGTTTGGAGTAAATTGCTCCAAAGTCTTTGAAGCAAATGCTCCGAACTATTATAAATTTCATGGGAGATTTGTGTTATTCAAAAGTTGAATGAGGGAGGTATGTGTAAGTTTTTTAAAATTGAGTGGTGTTTTTGAAATTGTCATAAATCTCAGGAAGGTATGCGTTATTTAAAATTTAAAATAAGATAGGTTTGTGTATTTTTAAAAAAGAGAAGTGTTTCTGAAATTTTTAAAAACTTCAGAGGAACTCTTTGTAGTTTGCCTTATTTTTTAACCACATATTTTATAAGGAAAAAAATTTATTTTTCATTGAGAAAAATCTCTCCCAAAAAATTGCTTAATCTCTTGTGCTGCTACTATAATTTAAATTTGGATTTACGGTTGATATGATCTCTTTTGCCCTAGGGCTTTTACATATAAAAGACTACAAATGTAGGTTTGAGGAGTTAAATGTTTTATTGATAACTGAACTTTTACATTCATTACATTTTACTCAATGAACTTTAAAATGTTTTCAAGTAATCATTATAATTTAACACATTGCACATCATAACTTAACATATTTCATCAATCAATGAACTTTTGAAATGATTTCGAGTGGTCACTAAAATTTAACATGTTGCATTCCATTACTTACTTACCCTATTCCATTAGTCATTGAACTTATACATCCATTACAATTTACTCACGAACTTTAAAATGATTCTGAATGATCGTTGAACTTTACTCACCAAATTCAATTGTTAAAAAATTTGAAGTTAGCATACTTCTATTCCCTTGAACATTACTTTTGCTAACTAAAATTATATCTTCTCGACCAATATCAATATTTGTTTCTTAGATTGAAAGTTTCATTATTTATTCGATATTTATTTTATTTTATTTTTTTCTAAGTTGAATTGCATAGAAAATCAACTTTACTTGGACATATTATAAAGTTTAGTGACAACTCGTAAATATTTTAAAGTTCAATAAGTAAAGCATGACGAATGTATAAGTTCAGTAACTAATGAAATATGATGAATGATTGATGGAGTGCAATGTATTAAAGTTCACAGACCACTAAAAAATATTGTATAGTTCAATGACTTATAAAATATGATGAGTGGGTGATAGAATGCAATGTGTTAAAATATAATGACCACTTGTAGGTGTTTTTAAGTTCAGTGAGTAAAACGTGATAGAGATATAAATTCAGTGATTAATGGAACATTTAACTCGTTCTTGATATTTTAAAGTTCGGTGAGTAAAGGGATATAAGTTCACACTATCATCTTCATAATTATCTCCTTCCTCTATCGTCTAGTTACAGCAATAAATTGTTCTTCAGATAAAAAAACACTTGACTTGCCTCTCATTTGGATGATTAAGGAAGGCGTTACTACCCATTTAATTAGTATAGTTAAGTTGTCGAATCTGTGCAATTTTGCAATGACTCTTTGATTCTTCTCATCCACTTCATTTGTAATTAACTAGCAATTTATTGACTTCAAGGGGTCCAAATTTTGCAGTGCTTAAAACAATTGACAAATTTCAGTGGATAGACTCAATTGACCATGCAGCAATTATGACCCTGTTTGGCCCCCATTATATTACATTTCATTACAATAATTTTTTCTCTCACTTCATCTCAACCATACAATCATCAAATAAAATAAAAATACACACAAATCAAAAACTTTTCAACCACACATC